AAAGATAAGTTGCTCATAGTTGTGTGGCTTCATATCTGGATCCTCTATTCTGTTCCACTGGTCTTCATGTCTGTTTTTGTGCCAGTACCATGCTGGAGTCACATATTCTTCATAGCTATAGGAAGAACACCCAGAATTAGACAAAAATAGATGAGACATTTATTTTGGTATACTAATTTATTTTACCTTTTTTTTTGGCGGGGCAGGGGCAGTTTGGGAATTTAAACTCAGCCTCACGCTTGCAAAGCAGGTGCTCTACCACTTGAGCTACTCTGTCAGCCAGTTTATTTTCACTTATTAGTAAATATTTACACATAAAAAGTCATAAATAATAAAATAATAACCTGTATATTCACTAGCCAGTTTAAGTAATTGAAACTCTTTAAAATGTCCCTCACCAGTCCTTTCTCCTTAAAGAGATGACTTTTGTTAGAATTTCATGCTCATCATTCCACATGGGATGATTTTATGTGTTACAGGAAGAAGTTGAAAAGACAAATGTCTGGGCTATTACCCAGAGATACTTTCACAGCTAAATACAGTTATGCAAACTCATACTGACTCACCCTCTACTATGCAGCCACAAAGAGAGCTACAGTGTTGGCACACAAATACTTTTAACAACTGCTCTCCTAAAATATTGACAAGCTCCATCACATATCCACATGGAATGACATATGGTCTTATCCATCAAAATCACTATATACAGACAACAATTTTTAGCAGATAACACACCGCATAAATGGGACATTGCCCTTGTCAGTACATTCCTATAGCATGTCATGGGTACTTTTACCACAATCCCCAAGGACTTTAAAACATATTTTGGCAAATTGAGATGAAGACAATTATGAGAACAGATGTAATTTTGAATCCTACCTGAACCCTTATTTCCAGGCTATGGTTCACACGTCCAACTCAGGACCTGGGGGAACTCAATTCCCGTCTGGATGTCATTCAGTTTTTTCTGCTGCCCCAGAATCTGGACATGGCTCAGATGCTGCATCGGCTTATGAGCAACATCAAGAATGTGCCTGTGAGCCCAGGGTGGGGGCAGGGATGTGGGAGAAGGAGGTTGAGAGCCAATATTGGATACTGGGCTTCTTGAGGGGCATCCCAGTGGTAGAGAGAAAAGTGTCTCCTTATCTGCCTTTAGCTGATTCTGAAACGCATGAAGTTGTCCCACACCAAAGTCAGTGACTGGCAGGTTCTGTACAAGGTAAGCTCTCCCTCCCTTTTGTTTTGAGACAGGGTCTTTCTATGTAGCCTAGGCTGGCCTCCAACTTGAGATTCTCTAGACCCTATTTACTGTGGTCACCCTGTCCAACTTTATCCTGCTACGTTAAAAAAAGAAAAAACAACTTTGTATTGTGGAAAATGTTAAAAATATTTAGAGAAAGAAATATTAACCCCCTTGTCCCCATTGTACAACTTCAACACTTTGACTCATGCCCATCTTGTTTCATCTATATTTCCTTCCATTTCCCCTTCTGGGATTATTTTGAAGTAAATCCCAGCCATTATGTCATTTCCTCCATAAATACTGACCCCAAAACTAAGTTCAAACTGGGGTTTGCACTCAGTGCTTTGCACTTGCAAAGCAGGCACTCTACCACTTCAGCCACATCTCCAGCCCATTTTGCTGTAGTTAATTTTGGAGATGGAATTTCACCAACTATTTGCTTGGGCTGGCCTTGAACTGCAATCCTCCCGATCTCAGCCTCCCAAATAGACAGGATAATAGGTGTGAGCCACTGGCACCCTGCTGAAAAAAAATTTTAAAAAGAGTAACAGGGCTGGAGTGTAGCTCGGTAGTAAAGTGCTTGCCTAGCACATCTGAAAACCTGGGTTTGATCCCTAGCATCTCAAAAGAAAAACCATTATTTTACAAAAACTAATTCTTTAATATTGTCAAATATCTGATTTAATCATCTCTTAATTTTTTTTTTTTTGGTGGTACTGGGGATAGAACCTAGGGTCTTGGTGCAGGACAAATAAGTATTCTAGCACTGAACTACATCCCCAGCCCTGTCATGATTGTCTTTCTTACACTTTGTTCAGTTAGGACTCAGAGTCAACATATAGCAATGGAGTTCAAGTCCCAGTACTGAAAAAAAAAAAAAAAAAAAGAAATGGCAGGAAGATAGAGGCGAGCCTGGGCCACAGAGTAAGACACTGTCTCAAAAACAAATTTATTTTCTTCCACACCGAAATTTCTGGTTCTCAGAAACACCAGGAATGATAAAATTAGAGTATCATTCATTTGCTTGTTTTCCCACACTATATCCACAATAATCTTAAAAGGGTTAGGGATACAGCTCAGTGGCAGGGCTCTTGTCTAGCATGCATAAGGCCTGGGTTTAATCCCTAGCACTGCAAAAACAAAACAAAAACCCAAAACAGTCTTAGAATAACAATGCCAGCACTCTTATTAACTTTATGATTATGGAAATCTGTTTAAGATTTTTTTGGAAAAGAAAGATAGTTCTTTTTTTTTTTTTAATTTTATTATTCATATGTGCATACAAGGCTTGGGTCATTTCTCCCAAGATAGTTCTTTTTGTCCACCCTAGAGATTTACAGTTAGTTTGCTATGTTTTGGTCACCCAAAATAGTTCCTTTCTGTGTGGTTATATACTTACACTCATTCATTTCATTCTATTTGTAATTCATTTTTAAATTTCAACTTTATGGTCATTCTTGTTCTCTTTCTAGAAATGACCTACTTTCAGTCTATTGAAAGTGTATTTCTTGGGGTGGGGGCAGGGGGGAGAAATAAACCAAGCCTTGTATGCACATATGAATAATAAAAGAAAAAAAAAAAAAAGAAAGTGTATTTCTTTCCTAATAAACTTTACTATAATTTTCAAAAAAAAAAAGAGGGCTGGGCTGATAGAGTGGCTCAGTTAGTAAAGCACCTGCCTAGTAAGTGAGAGGCCCTGAGTTCATACCCATGTGGTATGCTACTCAGGTATCTAGCACTTCTTTTAGGCCCTCACTTCAGAAACAGCCCAGAAATACATGTATGTATATTAATCCATGTAGATACATATATGTTCTTGTATTTATCTCTGTATATTAAAGAACCCAGAAACTCATAATGATAACTCTGATCTCAATATATCTCCAATATATTGGGTTGGAGGTTGCCTTCCTTCGTACATTTCTCCTGTAGACTGTGTACAGTGCCCTAGGCTTGAGGGATGCCTGCCGCTCCCTACCCCAGTCCATCCAGCTTTTTCGGGACATTGCTCAAGAGTTCTCTGATGACCTGCACCACATTGCCAGCCTCATTGGGAAAGTGGTGAGTGGAAGGAAAGGTACAGGGCACCTGGAGAGGTAGGAAAAGATGGGGTTGAAGAATGGAGAGGGACTGTGGTCTGGGGAATATGGTGTGGAAGATGGAGAAGCACAGGAGATGGTGACGCTAAAGAATGGGACAATGAGAGGAGGTGACAGAAATTGAAGGGTTCAGAAGTGTCTAGAAGATTCAAGTTAGGGTAGGACTGCAAGGGCCAAGGAGAACTGAAGACAGGAGCGGGGGTGCTGGGTGATAAAAAACCAGCCTTCTCTTCTGTCTCCTCAGGTGGACTTTGAGGGCAGTCTTTCTGAAAATCGCTTCACAGTCCTCCCCAACATAGATCCTCAAATTGATGAGAGTGAGTGTTGAGTGTGGGGATGGGCCTGTGAGCCCAGCAATGGGGTACCATTCTCAGGGATCATCACAGCAACCAGAGCAGGAACCTTACTTTTGATATCCATGTTTTCCACCCTCTTAGAAAAACGAAGACTAATGGGTCTTCCCAGTTTCCTCACTGAAGTTGCTAGGAAGGAGCTGGAGAATCTGGACTCTCGTATTCCTTCATGCAGTGTCATCTACATCCCTCTGGTGAGGGCAGAATAGTGGGTACAGCCTCCAGGCCTCTTTTCAAGGAGATACTAGGCTTATGAAGGACATACTGGTAGATAAGAAAACTTGGGAAATCTGAAGAACATGAACACCTTTTGGTGACTTTAGCCCCTGGAGGAAGGCATGGGGGATATATACAGGGATCTCTGGGCTTCCTCAAGGAAGAGAAGGTGCCTAATAGATCACTCCCTGCTCTTTCTCTTTTACTCTTTCCAGATTGGCTTCCTTCTTTCTATTTCCCGCCTGCCTTTTATGACAGAAGCCAGTGACTTCGAGATTGAGGGACTGGACTTCATGGTAAGATTCTCAACCTCTAGAGGGCTGTTAAAGAAAATGAATCTGCAGCAGAAGAAAGGGTCTTACCCCATCATCACTACCCAGTATGACTGTCACAAATGTGAGACAGCTGTGAGACAGAGGAGAAAAGTCAGGGTAGGGTGCTGGAGGTAGAATGAGAAAGGTGGGAGGGGAGACAAGAACCAAGCAAAGCAAAGCCTACAGTTTTAAACCCTTGTACCCAGTTTCTTTCAGAAGAGAAGTTGCATTATCGTAGTGCTCGAACCAAGGAGCTGGATGCATTGCTGGGGGACCTGCACTGTGAGATTCGGGGTGAGATGAGCTAGAAACTGGAGGGAAGCTTGCAGCTTGGTGAGGCTCTGATAGGCTCCTTCTCCTCCTGCTGTTTATCTCACTGTGACTCTACATCTTCTCTATCACTGGGAGTCTCAGATCATACCTGCATGCCTGTTTCCAGGTCTCTCTATGAACCTCTGTCCTTCACTTTCCACTGGAGCTGACCCCCAGCTCCCTATCTCACCCACTCCCAGACCAAGAGACCCTGCTGATGCACCAGTTACAGTGCCAGGTGCTGGCACGGGCAGCTGTCTTGACCCCAGTATTGGACCTTGCCTCCCGCCTGGATGTTCTGCTGGCTCTTGCCAGTGCTGCCCGGGACTATGGCTACTCAAGGCCCCATTACTCCCCTCAACTCCATGGAGTACGAATCCAAAATGGCAGGTAAGAACAGAGGGGATGGAGATATAGACACAAGATGCCCCAAGGCCCTACTTTCTGGAGGGTTCATCCATCTGGATCCACAGGCCATGCAAAGTGTCTCTGTGCAGACATCCTCTCATGGAACTGTGTGCACGAACCTTCGTGCCCAACTCCACAGAATGCAGTGGGGACAAAGGGAGGATCAAAGTCATTACTGGACCCAACTCCTCAGGGAAAAGCATATACCTCAAACAGGTGAGGAAAAGCCCCAGAACCTGGGCCTCTGGGATCTTCTTTACCTGCCACCTGCCAACCAACCGAAGTTCTCTGCTCTTCCATTTTGTATGTTCTCATTCTCTGAGGGAGAACCATGTTCTCATAGACCTTTCCATGGCCCAAATTCCCTTGACCCACCTCTGAATAGATACATGCCATTCCCAAGTGTGTCTGCCCATACCCCGTTCCTCTTTACTGACTCTAAAGTCAGGAACCCTGGAGTCAGTGGTGGGGTGGGCGTATGGGGAAGAGACAGTATGTTCTATACCTTTGTTCTTCAGTTGCACTGTGTCCATCTCTCTTTTATCTGTTATTCATTCTTAAACCTCACTTTTACTTCAGCCCATACCACCAGATCCCAGATCCTGTCTCCTCCCTTATTCAGGTTGGCTTGATCACCTTCATGGCCCTGGTGGGCAGTTTCGTGCCAGCAGAAGAAGCTGAAATTGGGACAGTAGATGCCATCTTCACCCGAATTCATAGCTGCGAATCTGTCTCTCTTGGTCTCTCCACTTTCATGATTGACCTCAACCAGGTCAAAGGGAGCAAAGGGAGGTAGAATCAGGGGAGGGGAGAATGGGAAAGCACTCTACCCCTGAAAATGCTTGGAATAGGAAAGCACTCCCTCTGTTGCATGCCCTCTGAATTGGGGCAGTGAACACCCAGGTCAGAGACTGGAAGAATTGATACCACAAGCATTTTTGGCAATGAAAAGAGATGAACAAAACATGTGCCTCACCATTTAAGAACTTGCAATGCAGTAGGGTGGGCACATAAAAACTTTACTCTCGGACAGACTGGGGGCCATGCTATAATAGGCCTTAAATGCTAATGAAACTCTTTGTCCACCTCATGCCCAGCAGGTGGCGAAAGCAGTGAATAATGCCACTGAGCAGTCTCTGGTCCTTATTGATGAATTTGGAAAGGGAACCAACACGGTGAGGAGAAAAATTAATGAGGAACTAAGGAGGGAGAAATGGAGGAGGACAAAGGAGCATGAGGGTGAGGCTGGGCTCTGAGAAGGGACAGGGATGTGTAGGCAGAAAATAGAGAATATGAGGTAGGGGAAGCCCAGAGCAGGTGCAGAGGGGCAGGTGGGCACCCATGGCTCTACACCCTCACTCCTACCCTCTATGCAGGTGGATGGTCTTGCACTTCTGGCTGCTGTGCTCCGACACTGGCTGGCACTTGGACCCATGTGCCCTCACATCTTTGTAGCCACCAATTTCCTGAGCCTTGTTCAGCTACAGCTGCTGCCACAAGGGCCCCTGGTGCACTATTTGGTGAGGAAACCAATCTAGCTCATAGGGACCCTAGGTTGAGCATCCAGAGGTGAGGATTGGCTCCTCTATCAGAGCAGGGGCTCTCTAAGCACAGAAATCATGACTCTTCCCTCTTCTTTGTTCCCATAGGGATTGACTAAAGGTTTCAGGGTAGGAAGCAGGGTGTTTGATGACACACTGCCCTCTTTTCTCTTTTAAGACCATGGAGACCTGTGAGGATGGAAACGACCTTGTCTTCTTCTATCAGGTTTGCGAAGGTGTTGCCAGTGCCAGCCATGCCTCCCACACAGCTGCTCAGGCTGGGCTCCCTGACAAACTCATTGCTCGTGGCAAAGAGGTGATAAGATCCCGTGTTCAACCTCCTCCATCTCAGGGCTCCCTTCCTTTGTCCCTGTTCCTCTTGGAGACTTGGGCTTCTGGGCTTACAGTATTTCTGACCCTGGTTTTCTCTTCTCTTTCCCTGACTCACCATACTCCCTACAACTTCCATATTATTCCTAGGTATCTGATTTGATCCGCAGTGGAAAACCTATCCAGCCAGTCAAGGAGTTGCTAAAAGAGAAACAAATGGAAAAGTGAGTGTGTGGCCCCATGTCTTCTCTTGACAGCATCTTCTCCTGCAGCTCTTCTTCCCTTTGCAGGGCCTCAGCCAGCCTCCCTCCAGCACTGTACCCTTCAAAGACCCACTACTTCTTTTTGGAATCCCTAAATCTTCAAGGTCATGAGTTTCCTGTGACAGACTCTCTCCTCTGCTCAGGGTCTGTTATCCATTTTCCCATAAATCTTGCCTTTCTCTTCTTCAGTTGCCAGACATTAGTGGATAAGTTTCTGAAACTGGATTTGGAAGATCCCAGCCTGGACTTGGACATTTTCATGAGTCAGGAAGTGCTGCCTGCTGCTACCACCATCCTCTGAGTCTGTCTTCTGCCCTTCCCAACTACCTGAGACTCCAAGGACTTCCATGCTCTTTTTGTTTCCTTATCTCCTTCAGACCAGACATCTTAGTTTGCCCAGAAATTTTGTTTCATATTAGGAATAAAGTTTATTTTGGATAAAGTTATTGTTTCCTGAGACTATCTAAAACAGAACAAGTAAATAGGAAAGAGCTGAAACACTAAGCAGTTCAGAGGAATCTGCTCCACCTCAGTAAAACTACAGTGACACTACTGAAGGGAGACCCTCAGATTCTATCCCAAGGGATTTGAGAACAAGTCACTTCAGAGAAGCCCTACAAAAATGGATTAGAGAGCCTGGTGTGGAGGCCATGCCTGGAGTCCTAGCACTCAGGAGGCTGAGGCGAGAGGATCTTGAGTTCAAAGCCAGCCTGGCCTACATAATGAGTTTGAGGCCAGCATGGGCTACATGAGATCCTATCCCAAAACACCAAAAAAATCCGCATCACCCCTCCAAAAAAAAAAAAAAAAACCTACTGAAAACAGATTAGAGGCTGGATGCCATGGCTCACATCTATAATCCCAGCTATTCTGGAGACAGAGATTGGGAGAATCACGTTTCAAGGTCAGCCTGGGCAAAAGTTAGCAAGACCCAATCTCAATCAATAGCTGGGTGTGGTGGTATGTACTGTAATCCAAGCTATGTGGGAGGCATAAACAGGAAGGTTGCAGTCCAGGCTGGTCTGGATAAAAACATGAGACCCTACCTGAAAAATAACTACAGCAAAAAAGGCTGGGGGTGTGGCTTAAATGGTAGAGCACCTGCTACCAAGTGTGAGACCTTGATTTCAAACCTCAGTACCATCAAAAAAAGAAAAAATGAGGCAGGGGGCTTAAAGGAAATGAACTTTCCCCTTAATTAGGAACATCCCAGCCTCAGACTTGCTGTGGGAACAGGCCAGAAGGGCTGAATGACAAGGCAGGGTGGGTATAAGGCAAGGGTGAAGTGGGAGGGATCAGTCCTGGCAGCACCAGTGGGAGTGGCTCCACTCTTCCCATCTCAGAGCCATGGGGAGCCGGGGTCCCAGTGGCCCACCCCTGGTGCAGGCTCCTTACACAGTTCTGCTGCTGCCACTGGGGACAAGCCGCCAAGACTCAGGGGCCCAGAGCTTCTTCCTTTGGGTGAGTATTAGCCCAACCGGAGGTCTCAGGGGAAGCCGCTTTCCCCACACTTGCCCTTTATATTTCCACTCAACTTTGAGAACCCGCAAGTCTTTCCCCCTTCTTCTTCAGGTCCTCAGTGGCCAGTGTAGGCACAAACTTAAGTGACCACACAGTGAACACTTTAAGAGAAAGGACAATGGCTGGGAGCCGTAATGGGGCCTGAGAGTCAGCCTCTGCTTTTTGTCTAACCCAGCTGCAGAGAATGCAGGCTCTGGAGAGAGAACAGGATGCCCTGTGGCAGGGGCTGGAGCTGCTGGACCATGGCCAGGCCTGGTTTGAAGACCATCTGAGGGAGGCACAGCGACAGCAGCTACATCTGGGGGCCCTTGGTGAGGTATGGGGCTGCCCCTCCATGTGGATGGGGTAGGAGGCGGGTTCAGGGAGTGTGGACATGGCCCAAGACCACTCTGGAAAGCAGAGAGTTAATGAGCAGGGATCATGAATCGGAGGCAGCAATGGAATGACAGGATGCCACCAAGTGTTAGGTTAGTGTTCTTTGTTCAGGCTGGGAGAGGCTGGTCTGCATTCCATTCAGAGGGACAGGATTTGGATGATTTGGATCATTCCATGGAGCGTGAGGGAATGGCCTGGGTTATTCCAATAGGGCAGGGATGGATAGGAAGGACCCATAAAGAACAGGGAAAGGGGGGGATTGTGCTATTTGAAGGGAACTGCAATGTTAAAAATATGGAGGTGGAGAGTATTGGATTTTTCTACATGCCTGGAAGGGTACTAGGATAAGGGGATCCAGATGAGGAGACAAATGGCGGTGGCTACAGAAGAGTGCCAGATGAACTTCAAGTTTTCATGGTGATGTCAGTCCCCAACTCCTCCTTTAGAATTTTCTGACAGATTTACACCCAGAGCCTGGTGGCCCCCAGTTAACCCAGATTCAAAAGGTGAACATCTGTCTGCAGAATCTGATTCAGAAGAAGGTGAGTTTATTGTTTTTAGTTTAGACTTGGGAAGTGAGACAAGAGAGGGGAGTTGTTGGGGTTAGCACTGGTTTACTAGAAAACAGCAAGTTCCCCCCAGTTCTCCCCACATCCATTAAACAAAACTCATTCTCGTGCCATTCAGGTCCAGAAGGAAAAGCCATGGAAACAGAACCTGTGCCAAAAGGTAAACTGCAGGGGGTGAGGAAGCCCTGGCCCCATGGGATGGGGGTGTACAGATGCCCAGTCTGTTTCTCTCCTCTTCTCCAGGAGTTGTCAAGGCAGCAGAAGGAAGTCAACCAGCCTAAGGAGGAGGTGGTTCAGCCAGGCTTCCCCCAGGGCTGGAGGCCCCACCCGAGTGTGAACCCTCCTCTCACGCCCCTCAGTCTGGTGTAGGAGGAGGCTGAGTCAGGTCCTTCCATCCTTATTCTGCATTTTAACTCAACAGCCTATGGCTTCAGACAATGGATCAATGAAATTCAGACATCTGGGTGTAAAGTGTATCCCCTGCTCCTGAAAACATCCATTTCATCTCGATGTTTCATGCCCTCGCTCTCCCCTACACCATGTACAAAAATGATTTTTCTTCAAAATCCCTCTGGGGAGAATACATGTTCATTGAAACCATCCTTTAGCTTTAAATGCAAAAATAAAGTAGAAGCAGCTCCAAATTTTAAAATAAAAAGAACTCTGTAAGGAACACTTCCTGGCTTAAGGGTGTGCCTCAAGTGGTAGAATGCCTGGCTAGCAAGCTTGAAGCCCTGAGTACAAATCCCAGTACCACAAAAAATGAATAAGTAAAAAGTAAATTTCCTGGTACTTTGCTACCCCCTGCCAATCCTAGTCTCTTCCCCATACATCTTCCCCTCTACCTGAGCCTGGAAGAGCATGACTTAGTGAAATAAAGAGAAACAGAAAGCAACTCTTCAAAAAAAAAAGTCTTTGGTTTAGTTCCCATAAGGGTTAGGGTTTTGTTTGTTTTTTGGTGGTACTGGGGTTTGAACTTAGGGCTTCCTGCTTACTAGGCAAGAGTTCGGCCACTTGAGCCATGCCTCTATTCTCCCATAAGGGTTAGAAGGAAATCCATTGTTCTACCAGTCTCTCTGTTTTTAAGAAAGAAGAGATAAGTTCATGAGAAAGAAAATCCTCTATTCCAGCTGGGAAAGGTAAGGCCCCTGAAGCCCATGTGACTTTCTCACCCATGGGACAATTTGAAAATAGTGCTGGAGACTTGTCCCCTAGAAGGGCTGTTCTGTTACCAGGAGGACAAGCTTAGCAGAAACAGCACCCCTCCAACTGTGCCCCACCAGAAGTTGCCCGCCATTCCTCCCCCAGCCCTGCCCTGAGTCACCAAAGTGGAGGGAGGAAAGGCTGGGGCAGGGGTAGGCGAAATGAAGACAGGACCAGACGAGTAAGCAGGGGCAGGGAGCTGATCCTGGTGGGAAGAGGGAGAAGGTCAGTGTGGGCTACAGCTGTGCCAAATGAAGCCTACACTGCCCTCCCCTTGCCCTCATCTCCTGAAGGGAAAGGTGGGAGTGCCTCACCTGCCTCTCCGGGGCCAGCACCAAGAGCCGGAGGAAGGCATGGGTTGGGGGCATTGGGCTGGCTCCTCGACCCACCGCAATCACAGTCACCATCACCACAGAGTCAGGGGCTGCTGAGTCTGGGATCTCCAGCCACAGGTGCCCCCAGGCCGATTCATTCAGTCCCAGGTGAACCCTAGAGAGTGGATGCCAACCAGTAGCAGAGAGCCAAGAGGTGGAGCCAGGTACTGGGACCCAAGCGGAGGACTCTGAGGGCCAAGGGGAAGGGGCCAGGGGTGGTGCCTGAGATGAAGCCAGGGTACCCACACCCCCCAGAACCGACTGGCTAGGCCAGAGCCAAGCAGGATTAAGAAACCTCACCTGGAGATGTTGGAGGTGAGGGAGAAGCTGGGGTTGACAGATGTCCTAAGATCGAGATCCTGAGGGCCCCAGAAGCTGGTGATGTGGAGGCTGAGTGGGGCCTTGCTACCGGGGGCCAAGAGACCTGGAGGGCCACTGAGCTATGAGGGAGGACTAGTTAGGAGTGGTGTCTTTCCAGATCTCTCCAGCTTTAGCCTGCACCTTCCCTTTGTGTCTCACCTCCAGAAGCACAGGGGCCACAGTACAAGGCTGGGGAGCAGCCCTGTGCAGGCTCTGTCCCTCTCCATCCTGGCCCATCAGCTCCAGGGAGAAGGGAAGGGATGTGGACAGCAGTGTGGGTGGCAGTGAGGCTGTGAAGACACCTCGCTGTGGGGATCCCACAGGCTCCAAGGGCACCCGGCCCAGCTCAGTGCCCCCTGGGACCATTCGAAGGACAACGTGGGAAAAATGTGGCTGGCTATCCCCAAAGTTACTTCTGGAGTTCAGCCCTGTCACTTCTACCAGCAGCTGAGTCTGGAGACCTGAGACAGTGGAGGGAAAGGGAGGAGGAGAGCAGTGGTCTGTGTGAGAGCCATTCAGAGACAGGGAAAGAAGAATGCTTGACCTTGTCTTGAATTAGGTGTATTACATGAAATCCATCAAGCTGTGTAACTATATGCTTAGTACTCTTTACTCAATAAAGAAGATACATGCATAGACATACATACACACATTTAGACATGCATACATATAATGAGCTGGGGGAGGGGTGGCCAGGGAATAGATGTACCTGCAACTGGCTGAGTCATGGGGTAGAGGCCAGGGTGGGGTCCATCCTCCATGGGAACCCCAAAGTGGAAGAGGAAGTCCAGGGAAGTCTGGGCTGAGGAGGGCAAAGGCAATCAGAGACCTTCTTGAGAGGACTGTCACTAATATCGCTCTCTGAGGTATGAGTCTCTCCTTCTCCTTCCCAGGAACATCTTCCTTACCTTGTACTCGCACCCGGGGACTGCCCTTAGCTGTGACCTGGATCTCCCAAGTCCCTGTCTGTGGGGGGTCAGTCATGGTCACCATCCAGAACTGCCCAAAGCGGCGAGTATGACCTAGAGGACCCATGCCTTCCTCCTGGCCCTGGGAGATCCCTGGAATGAGGACAAGAGATTGTCATGTGAGACAATTCCTGTCACTGTGCACATCCTCCCTTATTCTCCATTCACCAGTCTGCATTTGTCTCTGCCTGAGCCACATATGGAGGTACCTGCAGGGTTCTTGATCCAGAAGCTGCTGATCTCCCCATGCATCCGGACTGTGACCTTTTGGAGCAGCCTGTCTACACTGAACACAAGCGGCTTCCCAGGCACAAAAACAGGAGGGTCCAGGGGTAGAGTCACCTTGGAGGATGGGCAGGACCAAAAAAACAAGGGAGAAGGTAAGGCTTGGAATGAGGTGGGAGCACAGGACCAGGAATGAAGTTACTATGATCAATGACAAAAGTAGGGGTAAAGGATTCAGAATGGGACAATCTTTTTCTTTTCTTTGGTGGAACTGGGATTTGAACTCAGGGCTTCATGCTTACAAAGCAGGCACTCTACCACTTGAGCCATTCCTCCAGTTCATTTTGCTCTGGTTATTTTGGAGATGGAATCTCTCAAACTATTTACTGGGATTGTCAAACCACAATCCTCTTGATCTCATCCTCCCAGGTAGCTAGGATTACTGGTGTGAGCCACTGGTGCTTGTCAAGAATGGGAAAATCACTTCTTGTTTTCCCTTAAAAGATGACAGGATTTCCTGTCATATCTCTGAGGGCAGAACAGTGGAAGCTAAAGTGGAAGAAAAGTTTATTGATTTGAAAGGGTGACGGGGAAGGTGGGTAGTCTGGCTCTCAGAGGAAAAGGAACTTCCTTTTCCTTCTGTCCAAACGGTAACACAGCAACCTTTTCTTCTTTGAGAAGAGACATGCAGCGTCACATCACTTAGCTCTGAGTTGAGGGCACCAGCCCCCTGGCCTCCACTTACTCACCAGAGCAGCCATGCTCTCCCCAACAATGGCTGCCACGTCCCGAATGTGCTGGTCTTTAGTGAAGATCACCTCTCCTCCTGATGCCAGGGCCACTGCTTCATATGGTTCAAAACGTAGAGGAGATAACACCTCACGCCGAACTCGGCCCTGAACCCTTGATGGGTCTTCAGTCACCAAGAATGTCACCTGGAGCCAGAGGATAGTCCAGTGCTTCCAAGTGCTATCTGCTACTATAAATGAGGATCCTTTCTGCTCAGGCTTTCTTCAGAGTTAATGACTGGTGATAAGGTCTCTCTGTCCACCCTCTGACTGCTATGGTGGGGTCTCCCAGTGACCCAAGCCTCTTGCCTCAGTTAGTAGTTGACCATCCCCTTATAACTATTACAGTGTTTCATGGTGGCATTGTGGCAACTAGTTTTCTAGTTCTTCAAATGGTATATGGGGCAGATTCAGATACGAATTTAGCATCATTAAGCAAAGGGCCTCCCATTCTTGACTGTTGTTAAACGTACGGCTGATTTGAGCACTATAGTGTGGTGTGACCATTGTTATGACACTGCTGTCTTTCCCAGCCCCAGGTGGCTAATGCTGGGTCTCCCACCAGCTGTGCTCACCCTGCAGCGCCGCTCCTGAGTTAGGGATTCCACCTGGTTTGTGAGAAAGGCGTCCTTGGGGGAGGCATCAGTGAAGACAAAGATGTCTGAGAGTGGAGGTGTATGCAGCAGGGCTAGCTGGCAGGGAAGGAAAGGGACGGGGTTAAAAATGGTAGCAGCACCCTGGCGATGGTGGCTCACACCTGTTTTCCTAGCTACTCCAGAGGCAAAGATCAGAAGGATCACAGTTCAAAGCTGTGATAGGAGACCCTATCTTGAAAAAAACTTTCACACACACAAAAAATGGGACTGGTGGAGTGGCTCAATGCATAGGCCCTGGCTTCAAGCTCCAGTACCACAAAAAAAAAAAGGTAGCAGCAGGGGAGTGGGTAGAACCAAGGAGGGCAGAGTAGAAGGTGGTGTGAAATTAGTTGAACTAGGATCTAAAGGGATTGGGGTGGAGTGGAAGGTGGGCGGGTGTCCAATTCTATCTCCCCCTGGTGGCAGGGCCTGCCTGGAAAGGTCAGGGTAAGAGGGAAAGTGAAGGGTCAGACCTCCACAGCAGAAAGGCACATCTCAGGCTCATCTCCACCTCCCAAGGCATGGATCTCATTGAGCTGCTGCCAAAAACTGTCTGAATCACTGGTTGTAAAGACAGGTCCAAACCCTGGGCAGGAAGAAAGGAGATTTGTATGAGATGAGACGAGATGAGATGAGATGAGAAGAGATGATGAGATGAGATAAGGTGAGGTGAGGTGAGGTGAGGTGAGATGAGATGAGATGAGGTGAGTGCTCTTTATTCCTACCCCAGTCAGGAGGCTCCCTGTACTCCTGGGGTGGACAAGTATTTAAATAACAATATTCTCTGCCTAGCATGCATGAGACCCTGGTTCCTGTTCCCAACTATGAAAAACATGTTTCTTTTTATTTATATGACTCCTTACATACATCAGGCAGGGTTGATGGCCCTGGTGGTAAAGTGGGCCTCACTTCCTGTGGTCCTGAGTGATCCTTTATCAGATACATGTACCTATATAAAAAAAAACAACTGGAAGCCAACACACTTGTAATTCTAGCTACTCAGGAGGCAGACATCAGGAGGATCGTGTTTTGAAGCCAGCTCTGGCAGATGGTTAGTGAGACACTTTCTCAAAAAAACCAGCTGGTGGAGTGGTTCAATTGGTAGAGCACCTGCCTAGCAAGCATGAGGCCATGAGTTCAAACCCCAGTGCAGGGAGGAGGGAGAGGGAAAGCTAGAGAAAATAATAGTGCTCACCTTAAGAGGCTTATTAGGAGGACTAAATGAGTAGATTTGTAAATCTTAGAATAGTGCCTAGACACAGTGCTAAAAGTCTTATTTATTTATAAATACCTTCATAAAATATGTAATAAGACCCTATAAGATTTTTTTTCTTTTTTTGAGAGAAAGCCTCACTATGTAACGCAGGCTGGCCTTGAACTCTAGATCCATCTTCCTCAAACTCACATGTGCTAAAATAGCAGGCATGTACCATTATGCCCAATCACATAAGATTTATAAGACAAATCAGACACAAACCTTCCCTTTGGGAATTCTTAGTCCAGGGGGGCATTTTATTTGATCATTTCAATCTTGGGAGTTGGGAGGATAAGACCAGTACTGATCCATTTTATAAATTATAAAATTGATGCAAAGAAAGGTTTGCCTTGGCCAGCTCAAGGACACTGGTGGATCTAGGCCAGATAAGCTGACTTCAGTTCAGTGGGAAAGGAGTACAACTAGTTATCTCAGACACTTCCCAGAGCAACAGACCTACCAACACCACATCTTCATCCCAATCCCTGCCTATAGGAAATGGAGAGTTGAATATGGCTTGTTAGCATGGAAGTCTGAGAAAACAGACAGCATGTGCCAGAGCATGGCTCATGCATTAGACTTATGGAAACTATTTCTACTTTATACACAGTAGAGTGTTTGCACACAGGTACCCAGGTCACTCAAGACCACAGGAAGAACTGCCATTTTGTTAAGGAAGTGGAGTGATGAGGCCCACTTCCTCACCTCAGGCCTTTACCCCTTGTCCTGGACTTTCCTTCCCTCCACTGTCCTGGCCAGACCACAGCTACCTGGATCATGGAAAGGCACCAGAACATAGTGGACAGGTTCCATTGGGCTCCCCCGCCGCTGCTCCGCAATGTGGCGAGCCTGGATTTTGGCAGCATTTATCTCCTCTCCCATACTGCCTGTGGTGTCCAGGACGAAGCTCAGGCTCGAGGCTGGGGTGATGTCCAGCAGCCTGGGGAGCAGGCCAGAGACACAGTAAAGGGTCTGCACATTTGTTCTCAGCTCTTGGTTCTCAGTTCCCTTGGGAGCACCAACCAATCGGGGAGCCCATAAGAAGTCACTCACCTGGAAAAGCCCCTGTCTCCTAGTCGGCTTCTCAGGAGGCTAAAGGCCTGGATAGAGGCCAGAAGTGCCAGTTTTGCTGCCTGGAGGTGCAGCATGTGGTGTGGAGAGAAGCTTGGGGATGTGCTATCCTTGTTGATGCCACCTCGGGGTGGCTGGGAGCTGCTCCAGTCAAAATGGCCCCCATGGCTACATTTCCCTGGGTTGGGAAAATAAATCTAGAGGGTGGGGGTCAAAACCCCACTGCCTCTGAAGAAAATGGGGCCCTTTCTGAACTGGCATGACCCTCTCGCCCCTTAGCAAGGGATTGACAGGAAATGATGATACCTTGTGGAAGAAAATCTGGAGTAAATCTGGGGGTGGGGGAGTGGGTCAGTTTCCACAGCTCAGGGTGGATCCCTGGATCCCCCCAAAGCTTCCCACAGGCAATGGAGAAATCCTGTGAGCAGAACAAGAGCTGTTCCCCACCCAACAAGCATGGCCTCCTCAGTTGGCCTTCATCTACACACTGTCTTCCCAACATCCTCTCCCTCTAGGGAGTAGTAATACCATGGCAGGTGGGACAAGGGCCTATAGACTCTGAGATCGTGAGAAAGTGATCAAAGGAAGTAACTTTCTTACTTCTAGGGAGCTTTCCTGTCTGGTACCTGGAGGTTTGGGGGGATGAATTCCAAAGTAGCCAGAGGTAAGGAGCATGAAGTCCAGCAAATTTCCAGGGCAGCTTAACTCCGAACAATCGGAGCAAGTAGGATTGTCCACTGGGAAAAGAGGAGAAGGCTAGAACCAAAGCCTTGGCCACCCCTGGATTTTATCCTGTTACCAACTACTTCAGTCTTTCCTCCCACCTGGAACAAGGAAAGCTCACAGGCCACCTGGCCAGGGTCTCTGAACTAAAACCTGGGTTTTGGGGCTAGCAGTGGGACTGGGTGTTTGATAGTTGGGGCTGTTGTAGAAAACACAGGAACAGCCTGGCATGGTAGTTCATGCCTGTAATCCCTATAATTGGCAGGCAGAGGCAGGAAGATCTTGAGTTTAAGGCTAGACTGGGCTACATAGCCAGACACTGTCTTAAAAAACAGAAAAAAAAATAGAAAACCAGGGAAGTATGACAGTATTGAAGACTTTGCCCTCTGTGAGCTGCAGACAGGAAGTGAGATTGTAATGGACAGGAAGGAGCTTCCAGACTGTAGGCTAGCTGGGAAGATGAGGGGACTGTGAGAGAAAGCTATAGGAGCCAGTGGGGGTGGGGGAATGGCCACATGAAAGATCTGGAGACCTGGTCCTGTTTGTTCTCTCCTATGTGACCCTGGAGAGACCACTTAACTGCACTGGCCTTTCACTGGACTAGGGGACCACCCAGTGCTTGTAGAGATGAAACGATTATCATATACTATGTGACCTCAGGAAGTGACACGATGGCGGGTAGACTGAAGAGGTGGCTCCCTGGGCTCTCAACTTACCAGAGTCGTGGTCATACCTTGTGCCAGGTTCCAGAGCTCTTGCCTTGGCCAAAGGAGGTGTGGGTGTGGCTGCTGCTTTCCCAGTTCCACCCAGTTGCTATGACTGTAGAAATCCTAGTCCCCAGAGAGAAAAGAAAAAGGACTGGGAATGTGACTCAGGTGGTAAAGTGCCTGTCTCTTGCTAAAGTACAGGGCCCTGAGTTCAAATCCCCGTACCACCAAAAAAAAAAAGGAAAGGGAAATAAGACACTAGTCTTCAGCCCTAACATGCCACTCCTTTGAATTCCTACTCAGAAAATCATCTTCTACCCCACTGTTCCTGTCAGACACTCCAAATCTCCTCCACTGTTGTCTCTCCATTACCCAAAACAGAGCTTTGCCCATGTGGGAAACGACCCAGCATCCTTCCATTTTGGAGTCTAAGCCAAAGGCTCAGGTCAGTGAAAGCACTGACCTCCAAGGCCCTGCAGGTAGATGACTCAAACTCCCTACCTCTCCCACCTCAGTGCCTTTCTCTCCCTGTTCTCTTGTCTGCAGCCACAGTTGCCTCCTGGCTGCTCCCACAGGAAGAACTGTCAGTTTGGAGGTGGGGAATTAGAGAGAGTGTGTATGGGGTCGGCGGGGGGGGGAGCATGGCAGGATTAAGAAGGCACCGTAAGATTAGACGAGGCCTGGGGGCTTGGCTCAAGTGGTAGAGTGCCTACCTAGTAAGTGTGAGGCCCTAAATTCAAACCCCAGTGCTGCCAACCACCCCCCCAAAAAAATAACAACATAAAAATGTCAGGAAAGACCCTTTTTACCATCAACCCCAGTCTCTTCTTACCTGCAAGGCATGAAATGCAGCACCAAGGCGCTGGCGGGCCAGAGTGTAGTCAAGTGCTCTAGCTGCCACCAAGGTCTCCCGCAGAGCCCCCACCAGGCGTGTGCGTCCCTGAACCAGTCTTTCAGCATCAAAGTGCAGGTCAGGGTCATTTCTGGAGGTTGGCAGGAAGTCCTGGGCTGCATTGGCACGAGATACCTCACCTAATGCTGCTCGGAACCGCCGGGAAGGAAACCCAGGTCCAAAGTAGGCAGCGAAGAGGTCGTCAGCAAGGAGGGTTCGGCCCTGGCAAGAATGGTGGGGGACAGGGGCTCCAGGGCCGCCCTTTGGCATTATTGGATCATTGCCCACATTACTTCAGCAACTGGCACCTGAGACTAGGTACAGATAGACTTGAGAGTACTGGGACCCCCAAGGGAAGGACAGGTCTGGATCTTTCTAAGGAGGGGGTACTCCTGATTTCAGGACTAGGACTACTAAGCATTGTTGCCTCAGGAAGGTGGGTTGGGGAGGTGAGTGGGTGGGGAGGTAGGTGCCCCTTTCTCAGGCATAGAAGTCCTGAGGCAGGGATGTGAGAGGAGTCAGGGATACTCACCAGGAAGTCCTCTAGACGAAGGGGTGGCCGGCCTGGGGGTGGCTGCTCCAGGAAGAGCTGCAGGGTTACGTTGAGTGCTGCCTCTTCTGTCAAGTCCTGGTGGGTGATGGACCCAGGGGCAGCCAGTAGGCTCCAGATGTTGGGAAAGAAGGCAGCTATAGGGGACAGCAGTAGCTGCAGCAGAAGCAGTGCTGAGGAGCCCAGGTGGGGCAGGGGCACCTCCGCAGAGAGCATGGTTGAGATATGAACCTGGGGGACAGAAGGCTCTCAAGGGTGGAGAAAGCAGCCACGGATTTCAGGGCATGTCTGAGTCTGTTTGTCTCCAGGGCACCTGCATTGGCCACCTCCTTCTGCTTTGCCTCAGACATCTCTTACTCCAGCCTCATTCCCCCGCCCCGTCCCCCAGTCATCCAGACAGCCTGAAGGCCTTATCAGGCCAATAAGAACACAGGCCTGCCAGAAGAGGGGTACAAGTCTCTTCCCCCAGGCCCCCATTTTAGCCAAAGGCCACCCTCAGGCACAGGAAATGTCTCTCCTCGGCCTCTCCCCTACCTGGTTGCTGGGTTTCCTGGGCAGGGCTGGCCCAGGCGTGGCGTCACAGGGCACTTAGGTCAGAGTTATAATTACCCTGACCTCAGTGGAGAGGGAGGGAGGCCTCAGCAAGGGCAGGGGGGTGGACAGGATAGCAACCCCTGGACCTCTACTCACTCCTGCCCAGGTCCACAAGCAACAGCAGGTACAAGGGCGGTACCAGGGCAGGCCTCCAGGGCCGCAGTGCAGTGTGGAGGTGAGAAGAGCTGGGGAGGAGGGAGTAAGCAGCAGAACAGAGTGACTCAGGCCTGGCATGGTGCCAGGGACGGAACCAGACAGCCACATCCCTCTGACCACCAGCACCCAGTGCCTGGCTCCCAGCGTGTAGCCCTCCTGTTGCGCACAGCAGTAGCCTCTGAGGATTCAGGAACCAGCCCTTTGTACCACTCTGGCACCCATCACATGCACAGACAAGAGATGAGTTTGTGGCAAAATATTTTATTGCTGCCATCCCCATGGTGGACCACTGGGGTTGTGAGGGTTGGAGTTGGGTATGTCACAGCATCTTCTGGAATAGGGCAATAGCCTCATCCACCTTCCTGAGCTCTGCCTCTGTCTGTTGCAGCTGGAGGGCAAAGAATGAGAGGGGGCAGTGTGGTGAGGATCCAGACCCAAGGAAGAGACCCAAACACAATGATGGCAGAGGGGTCCAAGTCAGTAAGATGGGTGAGGACCACAGGGGAAGAGTTCAGGGGCTGTGTACATGGCTACCTCCTCTTTAGTCCCTTACTGCCCCACCCCCAGCACTCCCTTCTCTCTCTTCCACCTTGACCCTGCCTCTTAGGTCTTCCCTCTTCTCAAGTGGTCAGTGCCCCAAGGAAAAAGGCCTTGAGCACACCCTGACTAGCACCTCACCTGAGCTGAAGAGGACAGTTACCTGGCAAGACATGTAAGTTTTACTTATAAAATGAAAACAGTACCACTACCTACTTGCAGAGGGCACTGGGAGAATTGAGTAAACTAAGCTGCAGTTAGTCAGTGCTTCCTAGCTCTCAGCCTCATTACTGTTTCTCTCTGGTCCACATGTTTTACCACTGCTCCTCTCTGGACACAGCAGGTGTCCAGGGAGCTCCACACCAGAAGACAAGCCTGGCTTTCTGGGGTCAGCCCAGTGCGTTGTAGAAGCAGTAGGCACTAGACCTGGGGCCCCTGACCACACAAGGTCCCAAGCCCAGCCCCAGGCATGTGGGTTTCCATGTTCTGGGCAGCTCTGTGAGCTATACCAGGGGTCTGGCTTAGGAGGTAGGATGCCTAGTTTTAGGTCTGCCTCTGATTCGAACCTGCTGCACAACCTTGGGCTAGGCCATTGCCTCAACTGTTCTCATGTGTACAGGGAAGGGACTGTATGGTTACTGCTCAAGGGGCCTGGGTTCAGTGTTCCCCCAATGGATTGTCCAGGGCTGGCCGCATCCAGGGTTTGAGGACAGAGGGAGGTAACAGTGTGGGAAATGCCCACCCAAACACACACCTTTGCTTCGTCTGCCTCCTGGACTTCTAGGGGCACCTTGACAGAGTAGCCTGAGGCAGTGCGGCGTTCCTGCAGCCGCTGAGCCTGCCGCTGCACCTCACCTCGTTTGGCCTGCAGCTTGCCAAGCTCCCGGGCTGGGTCTACTAGCCCCTGCAGCTGCAGGTGGATGGAGCAGCGGTCAGAGGCCAGGGCCACAGCACAGCCCTGTGGTGCAGAAGCCCCCAGGGCCAGGACAGCCACCACACCCGCACTAGCCAGCGTCTGCACGTAGCCGGATACTGCCGATGCCTGGGCACCTGTGGCCTCATCAGCTACTTCCAGAAAACCTGCCAGGAAGGGAGGAAGGTGAGGCCTAGCTCCAAGAAGACAGGACACTAAGCAGCCACAGCCAGACACTGGAGTCCTAGAGTGGGCTCAGGGGACACGGGTATGGGGTAGACAATGGGGCCTGATGCTCACAGTCAGGCCGGATCCGGGTCAGGTTATAGTCGGCACGCAGGGAGCGCACAGCTCGAGTGATGCTTAGTGCCAGTTCAAGGGCAGCTTCTGCCTCAGGGTCCTTCCAAGAGCACTGGGGGGCAGAGGAGGGGGTGAGGGAGGCCGAGGAGTGGGCCAGAGCCCCCTCCAGACTACACCCCATACCTCTGCAGGCTCTGGGTAGGGGGTAACACAGAGGCTAGCAGGAGCTTGTGGTGTCCGCCGGGGCAGCCTCTGGAACAGCTCCTCTGTCACAAAGGGCATGAAGGGTGAAAGCAGCCGTAGGCCGACGTCCAGGCAGGTATAGAGGGTCTGACGGGCACTCTCAGCTGCTATCTGGTCCACTCCATTCAGTACAGGTTTTAGGCACTCCTAGGGGATGGGGAGGTACAGGGTTCAGGGCAGAGAGGTCTAGTTCAAACCCTCAATGCACCTGTGAGGACTGGTAAGAGAACGGGTTGGCTCAGGTCTCACAGCCAACCTGTGGCAAAGCTGGGGCCAAGGCTCCATAATCCCCCTGCCCTGCCCTACTCAGCTGTTTCTTACCAAGTAAACATCACAGAGCTCATAGAGCCAGAAGCTGTACTGGGCAGTGGTGACAGCTGGGAAATCATAGGCCTGGAAACCTTCATTGCTGAGCCTAACAGCCTCGGTCAGCCGGCTGCGGATCCAGCGGTCCACCAGACTCTCATGGCCTCCAGGCTGGGGGAGGGGTGTATCAGTCAGCAGGCCATCATATGTGGGGAGTAGAGGATGGGGAGAAGAAACTAGACCCCACATCAGAAGCCTGATGGGACCCAAAGTAACTGAGCGTGGCTCAGTGTCTTGGGGAAAAGGGATAGAGTCCCCAACCACTTCAGGAGGACCCCTGGGCAGAAGCTGGGCTTCTGACCCTATGGCTACAATCTTGGCACAACATGGACTGTGCTTGATACCTGAGAGACAGGGATGCAGCCTATATGGATGCTGTCAGCCTCACCACCTACCAAGCCCTCACCTCAGAGGATGGTGAAGGCACAAAATCCTTCCCAAAGCCACGGAGGGCAAACTTGGTGGCATTCCAAAGCTTGTTGCAGAAGTGCCGGTAACCCAGTATCCGGTTCACATCCAGGTTGATGTCCCGACCTGGGAAAGGGCTGAGTGTGAGTCCTACCAGTCATCCCTCCCAGCTGGGCCCACCACAGGCCCAGGCTAGAAGAGAGGGTGAGTCTTAAGAAAGGAGGTGGTAAGCAGGGCCCCAGTGACAGAGATTAGGAGGATTGCAGTCAAAGCCAGCCCAGGCAAATAGTTCTCGAGATCCTATCTTGAAAAAACCCATCACAAAAGAAGGGCTGGTAGAGTGGCTCAGGGTGAAGGCCCTGAGTTCAAACATCAGCACTGCAAAAATAAAAAAAAAAAAAAAAGTGGTGGTAGTTGAGAGGGAGCTTGGAGGGGCCATACCCTGGGATGTGTAAGCACAGAGTCCAAACCGGAGGG